GGCTAATAATAATAATAATAATGGAGTCAGACTAGCAACAGTCTCAGCATGAGTATTGGCTCATCCTTATCCTTTTATTCTTCCATTCAAATATGATACATAAACTAATTCTACATAACAATAATAAGAAACAAAACACAATAACATTTCTTTATCTTTATCTTCTTTTTTTTTGTTTTGGAGGGAGCTATTTTTCTTATTTAAATTGCGATTTTGGGCATTGCAGTTTATTCCCCCGCAATTTGTATTTTCTTCCATTTCATTTTTCCGCTCCGGCAGCCTCAAAAACCTCTGAAAAAAGAAATCTTGCACGCACAACTTTTATTCAAACATTAGCAGGCATTCAATGGTATAACAATTTGGGAAAAGGCCTAAATCTCATTATAAATTCCAATAAATTTGAGAAAGCTGAAAAGTGCTCTTATATGTTTTATTATTATTATTGCTATTTTTATTATTTTACTATCTTTATAAAACTTGATTTATTTCTAATATAAGTACATGTAGGGGGCTTAAAGAATTATTTGTATTTTTAAAATAAATAAAATTGTCTCGACTATTATTAACACAGGAGCCAAACCGATTTTGATAATTAATAGCCAAAATATGAATAGAATTTTTCTTATTTTAAAATTAAAAACAAAAACGTAAAATAACGGTCTGATGTTATTTGAATTTGGCAGTTTCCTTTGTTTGAATTTCAAAGGACGTCTCTCCTTAATCTTCGTTTCTACAAAGGAAAGACGAATGCTTAATCGATTCTTTGAAAATTGAAACCTTTGATCGATACGTTTTGACGTTTCTTATCAATCTTTTCCTTTGTTTTTCAAGATTTAAAGGTGAACGTGAAATGTCAATATTTTGAAGCCTAAAGTTTTCCAGAAACGCAACGTTATGCTCTCGGTAAGAGTTCATAATATTAACCATGAAAATATTCATATATTCTGTGACAGTGATTTCAAATCTCTTGGTTTTTAATGCGTCAAATAAAATTTATACTACTTTATTTATTATTTTTATTAGAAAATAAAGATTGTCATATTTGGGCACATGTACACTTAACAGATCTCTTCGCTGAAAAGCGCAGCAGTCTGTACCTAAGGGGTTGCGTCAGGAATCCAACCGAGTCCTGGTTGGGTAGTTGTTTTTTTTCAAACTAGCTATTGAACCAAGAGCAAAAAAAGTTTTGGAAAGTATTGTTGCCAGTCAATGTTTCTTATTGTCCAAACAATATTTGGTACTGGTATGATCGTCGTTAGATCCAAAGATTTTTTTGGCTAATTTGTCTTCGTCCTTATTTTCCTTACAGTATAATCCTTTATATATGCCTTTTTATTTTGTAATTTGTAATGTGTAAGCTGAAATTATAAAAAGTATTGATTGTCTTGGTTTTATTGCATCCTGCAGAATCCCCTCGACTTCGAGGATGTCAAGTTTAACGCAGGAATAATTATTCTTGAAGTATGCCGACGAATCAATTAGAAGAGAAGGCCTAGATTAGAATCATGATTATTTTCTAGCCAGGGTAGTCCAAAAAAACTCTAGTGTTAAAGAATTAGAAGAAGAAAAATAACTTTATTCTGGGACTGGTGTCCCCTGAGAATAATATACATGAAATAAATAAAAATAAAATTAAATAAAAATCTAGGCACAATGTATACAAGTGAGGCAAGCCATAAGAAAAAATAACAAGAAAATTAAACAAAAATATCAAATATTAACGTAACGTTTCTGTTTGGAGGGAGAGGAGGTGGGATTTAAAGGAGGAAAAAGAGGCGGCATGACGAATAGAAAGGGGAAGGGAGTTCCAGTATTTAGAGGCTCGGATCAGAAAGGATCTTTCGAAGGTATGGATTGTATGTCGCGGAAGGATAAGGTCGATTGGGGATGAGCGAGTGTTACGAGTGTGAGGAGTTGAAGTGGAGGGATTCGGTGATGTGAGGAGGACGATGAGTGTGGATGGACTGGAAAGAAATCAACCAAGCAAGGAAGGAGGGGTAGAGCTAGGAAAGTTGGGAATACAACCCCAACACCCGGGACCCCGTGGGGTGCTGAATACAAATCTTATGCAACAATTCATAATACGCTTTAATCGCGCATTCCCCTCCCTCCTCTGAGAGACCACCGTTGCCACATAGTTGTAATCGAAGAAGGGAAGTATAAAAGAAATACAAGAAGTTTTTCGGGTGGAGAAAGGTAAGAGAAGCCAGGACCGATGAAATACGCTGTGGAAGGTGATACAATGGCGGGAAATTTGGGAAATGTGAAGATGCTAGAAAAGGTTTTGGTCAAAGATTACTTCTAGGTTTTTAACCGAGGAGCAGAAGGGAATTGGATGGTTGTTTAATGAAAGGTGGGATGCTGGGAGGGAATTGAGGAGTTGCCTGGACCCAATAATTATGGCAGTGGATTTGGACGGATTGAGGACTAGAGAGTTTTTATGTGCCCATACATTGATGGAATTTAGGTCTTTTAAGATCTTGAGAATGGCCGAGTGAAGATCGGAAGGGTGGAAGGATATGTATATTTGAGAGTCATTGGCATGCAGGTGATAGTTACAGGACTGGATGGAGTTGGGCAGATCATTGATATAAATGGAAAAAAGGATAGGAGAGATGCTAGAGCCTTGGGGCACCCCAGATTTTAGAGGGAGGAAGGAGGAGGTAAGGCCATTGGGAAGGGAGACAGCTTGGTGGTGATTGGTAAGTTAGGAGTGGAATCAACGGATGGTGCTGTTGGAGAAGGAAGAAGATTGGAGTTTAGAGAAGAGGGAAGAGCGAGGGACAGAATCGAAGGCTTTGGAAAAATCAAGGAGAACAAGGATAGTAACTTTCCAATAGTCCATTGCTAAGTGGAGGTCACTTGTAATTTTTATTGGCGCTGATTGAGTGGAATAGTCTTGGTGGAAGCCAGATTGGAAGGGACTGAGATGGGACTGTTCATGGTGTCTGGAGACTTGTGCTTGAACTTTCTAGGGGCTTGGACAGGTTTGAGAGGATGGAAATAGGACAGTAGTCTGTAGGGGAGGATTGATTGGGGGTTTTATTGACAGGGTAGACAAGGGCTTGACAAAGAATTGACCGGATAATTAATAAAATTGGCATCCCCTAACATATTCGTATTATTTTTTAAGAAAAAAAAGTAAAAAAGGAAAGTAAAAGCAAAAGACCCTTTTCTAGGTCTAATATACTTAATATTAAACTAAAACAAAAAGTTGTTTAGCAAGACAAGACCAATTTTAACAATAATAATTTTTTTGTCTTTTGAATGTTTTAGGTCCAATAAAATATTATAGTTTAGTGATATTTCATTTTGTCAATAATCTCAGTTTTCTTAATCCTCATTCCAAAGATAATAGGAGGTTTCCTTAATCCTCCTTCCAAGGATAAAAGGAGGTTTCCTTAATTCTCCTTCGAAGGATAAAAGGAAGTTTCCTTAATCCTCCTTCCAAAGGATAACAGGAGGTTTCCTTACTCCTCCTTCCAAAGGATAAAAGGAGGTTTCCTTAATCCTCCTTCCAATGGATAAAATGAAGTTTCCTTAATTCTCCTTCGAAGGATAAAAGGAGGTTTCCTTAATCCTCCTTCCAATAGATAAATGGAGGTTTCCTTAATTCTCCTTCCAAAGGATAAAATGAGGTTTCCTTAATCCTCCTTCCAATGGATAAAATGAGGTTTCCTTAACCCTCCTTCCAAGGATAAAATGAGGTTTCCTTAACCCTCCTTCCAAGGATAAAAGGATTTAACTATGGAAAATCTAGTCTTATCTAGGACCTAATTGAGAAATGACTAAGGTTAAGGTTAAAAAAAAAGTAAGCCTCTCTATGGCCCTAGTTATATATATATAGTATGCAGGGCGGGCGACCAAGACCTGAGGGGTTAAATGCCTGGGTAGACTCGTACCCCATCCCGATATGGCCCTAGTTACCACAACCAAATACTTATTATGGAATTTCAATCATTATCTAGAATTCTTCGTTAAAGGCTTTTTATCAAACTCCAAAGCTTTGTTAAGGGGTCCAGTGCATACATCATTACATATGCCTCTGGAGTCTGCAGTGTCCAGTCAGCAATGGCACTATCATTCTTAGGTTTAGCAGTTCTGCTGTTAGTTTCTGCGATGGTCCTTTAATTAACCTTTTTTCGATACCTCTGTCTGGGAATACAATTTAAATGAACCGAGGAATTTATTCTCAACCCATTGTTAGATGGATGTAAGATTTTCGGCAATTTGGTATTCCGCAAGAGGCTTAGGGCTATGTGTCATTGAACTTTCCTTAGCCAATTTATCGGCCTTCTTGTGGCCCTGAATGCCTTGGTACTTGAATTATTGTTTTTCCCAGTGTTTAAAAGTGCCTTGATGCAATCCTAACAGCCCTGGACTTTACTACCTATGAGTAGTTAATTTTAGAGTCACTTGGTTGTCTGATGGCTATCGATGATGACCACCGCTGATCACCTTGCTCAGTGTTGAATAGCCACGGTTGGCCTAAAAAGCATATATGAATCCTAGTCCTTGGTTTATTTTCATAGATGGCTCCTGATGATATTCGGTCTTTATGCTAGGTTTAATCGGTATTAACCTGGGAACCTGTGTACTGTATTAGTCTGTGAATTGTTGCTTAGCCTTCTCCTAGAAGAATATAATGTAGTCTTGGTAAATTTTTAAGCAGTCAGTGAGCAGTACCGGTTCTGACTGCCTTCAGCCGTAATGCCTTTTCATCAAACCACCGATCCATAGGTTATCATGGGTCTAACAACTGCTAAGTTTAGCCTTAGGGACATCTTTGGACTTAGCATTTTCCTTGAAGGCGTTAATGAAGATTAATCTATGTTTTCTGTGTTTTTTAAAATTTAGATTCTAAATATGATATGGGGAAATAAAGAGGGAAAGAACAGATTGCAGATTTATGTCAAGCCAATAAATGATTTGCCGATTCCGATAGATGTCAATCGCAATTGGCAAGTGCGCCATGTGAAAGACCTCATAGGGCACAAACTCGGTCTGAGCCCGTTGAAGTTGTCCGTGATATTCGCCGGCCATGTCCTAGACGACTCAACTCAGATCAAAGTGAGTTTTTTGTTTTTAATTCAAAATCAGATTTCTTAACAACTTCATTGGCAGGAATGCAACCTGGGCGAGCAGAGTGTGATACACACAGTCGAACATTGTAACCGAAGCAACAAACACGTCTCGACCAACCTGACCGTTGATGAAGAAACCAACACCGATTTCTTTGTGTACTGTTCGACCTGCCGTTATTATAAAAAAGGCAAACTTCGTGTCAGATGCTCTTCTTGCCATGACGGAGCTGTCGAGCTACATCGAGATCCTTCTTCCTGGCGCGATGTCCTAGAAAGTGAAAGAATCCAAGGAAGCTGTAAAACCTGCAGTGTAACATTTTCCACAATTAGTTTTTATAGAGGAATATTTAATGTGAGATTTTACAGGCTGCAGATAATGCTGTGGTTGAGTTTTATTTTAAATGCTGCAAGCACACACCTTCAGATGATTCTGCTGTACCTTTGGACCTCATAAAGCCTAACCGTCTTGATATTCCTTGCCTAGTTTGTATGGAAGTCTCGTTAGTTTATTTTATTTTTAAAAAAAATCCTGAATTTTTATCTCATGTCTGCTTTACTAATTTCAGAAATCCAGTCTTGGTATTCCCTTGTTTAAGTAAGCACGCTGTCTGCATACCGTGCTTTGTCAACTACTGCATAAATAGGATTTCAGAGAGGAACTTTATCCTTGACAAAAGAACAGGCTATACGCTCGGCTGCCCTGTTGGCTGCGAAAACTCATATATTGAACAGCCATACCATTTTAAACTTCTTCCGCCTGAATTAGTAAGCTCGTTCTTAATTTAGATAAGAAATAACTTTATATTTCTACTTTAAATCGGTTTTACAGTACAGACGTTACCAAAAGTTTGCAACTGAAGAATTTATCCTGCAAAATGGGGGCGTTTTATGTCCAAGGCGTGAATGCGGGGAGGGAATTCTATTGAGCGAGGGCACAAATAGAATAATTTGCCCAAGGAAAGATTGCCAGGTATTTTTGTATAGTGAAAAAAAACCTTTTACTTAAATTAACTTGTTACTTTTTCAGTTTGAATTCTGTAAGTTGTGCTTAAGTGAATTCCACAGCGGGGAGTGTGAGAGGCAAGAGGCAGCCCATTCTGCCAAAAGCTGGCTTCTGGTTGACCCTATAAAATATATTTAAAAAAAAAATGTGCAGTGTGAAAATTTGACAAATTTCAGACTCGCTGGGATGAATGGGCGTCGAAGAACACGATCAGGAAAATTTCCAAGCCCTGCCCGCACTGCCATGTGCAGACGGAAAAAGACGGTAATTCAATTTCGACTGATTTTGATTTGGTTTTCTTTAATGTAAATTTCGACCAGGCGGCTGTATGCACGTGTACTGCAGATGTGGTTTCAACTGGTGCTGGATCTGTTGTTCCGAATGGACCTCAAACTGTCGTTCTAGTCATTGGTTTGGTTAAATTTTTATGTTAATTGTTTAATTAAAATTTAATTACTTTAATGTTAGTCAAATGATTATTTTTTTCACCTAGATTTAAATTATTTATAAACATGTACATCATTTAGGTAAGTAAAGTCCAACCGAGTTTTACCAATACCTTATGAAGTTGACTTGAGATAATTAATGAAAGATTTAAATTGTTAAATTATAACTTAAACTCATGAAAATGATTTGTCTCACCGAACCCCTCTGCCCTGTAAACAGCCAATCATTCGAGGCCATCTGAGGTCACATTCTCAGCGTCGTTAGCAAGAACCTAAGGGCCCTCCAAGGTTACTAACCTAAGAGCACAGCTTTGTATAAGGAAGGCTATCGGAGTACCATCTTAGTTGTGTCCAGCTGACGCTACAGCATAGTTTGGAATACCAATGAAGACAATTGTAGAAGTCATTGTTTGTAAAAAGATCAACTTTAGCCTTGCACCATGATGTGATGATGCAGCAGTTATCTGTTTCACCAATGCTGCTGTAGATGTTATCAGCCGCCATGAAATAGTTACTTTCAAACTCATGGACCCCAAACATTTTGCCTGTCCTCATTGGTGGTTGAAAAAACATTTATACTTGTTAAGCCTGCCATTGTTCCCAACTGCTCAAAGAACGATCTGACCGAGCTTTGACAAGGAGTGAACACAGATGTGCAAATTGGGACACCACACAAACTGCGGCATAGGCTAGTTGTGACTGAGAACTGATGAAGACAATTGATGAAACAAACGATTGTGGAAAAAGCTCAACTTTAGTCTTGCAACAGGATGTGCTCATTGCAGCTGTTATTCAGTTCTCCAATGCTGTTGTAGATGTCATCAGCTGTCATGAAATACTTTCAAACTCAGAGACCCTGAACCTTGCCTGCCTTCGTTGTCAACAGCACAAACAGCGATCTGACCGAGCTTTGACAAGGAGTGGACACAGATGTGCAAATTAGGACACAACACAAACTGCAACATAGACTAATTGATGAAGACATTAGTTGAAATCAATGTTTTTCGAAAAAGCTCGAGTTTAGTCTTGCACCAGGATGTGGTGATGCAACAGATATGCATTTCACCAATGCTGTTGTAGACGACATCAGCTGTCATGAAATCGTTACTTTCAAACTCATGGACCCCAAACATCTCGCCTGTCCTCATTGGTGGTTGAAAAAAACATTTGTACTTGTTAAGCCTGCCTTCGTTCCCAACTGCTCAAAGAACTATCTGACCAAGCTTCGACAAGTATGGAACTTTGAGGTACAAATTAGGCCACCACACAAGATGTACCAACTTCAGCATAGACTTGGGATATTGATGAAGACATAGTTGAAATCGAACGTTTGATGCAAAACACTCGATTTTAGCTTTGCACCAATGTAACTATCGATAGAAAAACGGAGGATGTGCGCATGCAGCAGTTATCCGGTTCACCAATGCTGTTGGAGACGTCATCAGTCGTCATGAAATCGTTACTTTCAAACTCATGGAACCCGACCTTACGCCTATCCTTATCGGTAGTTGAAAAAAACATTTATACTTTTTAAGTCTCGGCGTAGTTGTTCTGTTCCCAACTGCCCAACAATCGGCCGGCGAGATGGCGTCGAACGAGGAAACAGACTGTCCGGTAGTGCAAGAGAGTATGGACGACCAGGAGTCGTTGCACCCGAAGGACCGGCTCCTCGCCCTCCTCGACCGAGTGGAAGCGGAGGTCGAGTATCTGAGGAGTGAGACGATGCGGCTCGAAGAGCGTAAAGATTCCGTCTTCACGGCCCTCGACTCCCTGAGGAATTCCGACCTCCTCCGAGAACTGCACGAGACCGACCGAGACGACATCGAGAAGTACATGGAACGGGTCTCGACCCGTTGCCTCACCATCGAAATCCTCGTCCGGACCGTCCGGAGCAGTCAGCAGGAGGAAGCCCTGCACCAGGTCAATAGGCTTATTGACTCTTTGGTCGTCTCTTTCAAGTCCGACCCGTCGACGACGAAGGCCAAGTGCCAGTCTTACATCGCCTCCTGCTCCGAACAGCCCGAAGTCCCAGGGGACAAAGTTTTCGAAAACGTACTCCTCGGCTGCACCATAGATGACCAGAAGAAGGTGAAGAAACGCCTCCAGGGACTTTACAACTACCTCGACAGCGACGGTAAATTCTCAGCCCTTCAGGTCGATTGAACTAACACTCCAGCATCTTTTTTTCCTGTATTTTCCTCAATTCTTTATACAATTGTACATTTGACAGTGTCTAATTATCCACCCTTCAATTAATAACAGTCCAAATCGCATTCTAACATTTTAAACTATTTTTTTGTTTTATATATTTTTAAAAATACTCGCATTGTTATTAACTTAAGGGTTAAAATAATAAACAAAAAAAAAATCTATTAAAAAAGCTTTATCTTTCATTAACCCTACAATTAACACGTAGATTTATTAACATTCTGACATTATCTCGAATTTCTATCAATTTGTTTCATAAATTAAAAAACAAACCATCAACCGTCAATGATAACTTTGTTTTTATTTTCACAAATAGTATTTTTATATACTATTACTACTCGCTCTTTATAAGGAGCCAAGGAATGACATCCTTCAATTATGCGAGACGTCAGACTTGCTCTACATGCTGGGCATGTAGGCTTTGGCGCAAAAGTAAGTACAGTCAAATCTTGTTAATTCGAAACTTTATAATTTGAATTTCTTGGAAAAAAAAATATGATGGCCTGAAACTTCCTTTTCCTCTGCTTTACAGAAAAATATTGAATAGTAAACGTGTAACCTAATTAACCTAAACCCCTATCCCTAACCTAAACTAACCCTATCCTTACCTATGTCAACCACTCTTCAGTAATCCTAACCCTACCTAACCTAATTGTAATTTTGCCCTAATGCGTACTGACAATAAGCATTGTTTTATCACAGATTTTTTACACAGGAATTACATTACTTATGTTGGTGGTTTTGGATTATCTGGTTTCCTTATTCATTGTTAAATCTGACCTGAAACAACCTAACAACCTCAAACAGAAATGCCAAAATTTAACACAAATTTTCTTCAGTTTGTTATGTTCTGTCAGTGTGTTCTCAACACTGGTCACTTCAGGTGATCGAAAAAATTCTGTGCGTTTCGATGCACTCGGTAATATGAAATATTTTTCATAACATGAGGGAGAAAAAGCATGCTTAAATAAAATTGACTTCCCACCTTTAAAATTTACATATTTTCTTTGTTATATTCCTCTAAATTCCCATGTATTTTTCTGTTCCTGTGTATTCCTTCCTTAAAGCCTAAAGTTTCTTTAAATTTTCTTCAGTCTGTTATATTCCATCAGTGTTTTGTCAATGTATTTTCAGCACTGGTCAGTTTGGTAAATCAAAAAAATTCTGTGCATTTCGATGCATGTAATATGAAATATTTTTTGTTACATGAGGGAGAAAAAGCATGCCTAATTGAAATGGATTTTCCATCTTTAAAATTTGCACTTTTTCTTTGTTATATTCTTCTAAATTCCCATGTATTGCTTCCTTCCTTAAAGCCTAAAGTTTCTTTAAATTTTCTTCGTTTTGTTATATTACATCAGTGTTTTGTCAATGTGTTTTCAGCTCTTGCCACTTTGGTAAATTGAAAAATTCTTGCATTTCGATGCACTCAGTAATACGAAATATTTTTTGTAACATGAGGGGGAAAAAGCATGCTTAATTGAAATGGATTTCCCATCTTTAATATTTGCACGTTTTCTTTGTTATATTCCTCTAAATTTCCGTGTTTTGTTTCCTTCCTTAAAGCTTAAAGTTTCTTCGAATTTTCTAAAACCCTAAAGCAAATCCATCAGATCATTGGTTAAGAATCTTGGCTAAGTGGGATTGTACCTCAGTAATTGGGACGAAAGGTATGGCGACCTGGTGGCTACAAAATGAGCATGTGTCAGGAGCTGGTATTTATGGAAATAACTAAGGACTAGAATTAATAATAGCGTAATATACCACTGTATTTCAACCATAGACTGTGACTGTTGAACACTGTCCTAAGGAGATTAGAAGGCTAGGCATCGTTAACAGAAGAATAACCATCTTAAACCAGGCAGCACTAAGGGCAATTACCACATCGTTTATAAAGTCCAGAATCATTTGGGATTGCATTAGGGCCCTGTTAGGCATTGAGGGAAAACAACAAAACTACCATTATCTGGGTACCAGGGCCGATAAATTCAAGTGAATTAACTGGCCACCTCCTCCAGTAGATGGAATTTCTATCAATGCTGTAATAAGAATTTTTATTTATTATTATGTTGTATTTTTTTTGACAATATTTGTCAATAAGGTTCTTTCTTCATTCATACGTACAAGAGGCGCTCTTATTAATGATTATTAACGACTAATTTAGATTTTTCTCACGGTTATTTTTGACTTTTCATACAGTTCGATGACTATCCAAATTGTTCAAATAGGAAATGTTTTGCATTTTTATAAATATTGTATGTTAAGTTGTATAAGTCTTCTTTTTTTTTGGCAAATAGACAAACACGTGTGCATGCTAAAATATTATGAAATACATTCAGGTTATCCTTGAAGGTATAAAATATATTTCCATACAAGAATGTAAATAATACAAGGTATTCCAAAAAATAATTGGCTTTTAATTTTTATGTCATATTTAATAATGTTAATGTGTAATTATAACTAAATATATTGTCCATTTTATGATAAAAGTTGTTTATTTCAAATAGACCTAATTTCTGTTTTGGTTTTGGCTGGAATTCTTCTGTTATAAACATTTGAATAAATGAATATCTCAGCTTTCATGATAGATGCAGTGGAACAAATCATATAAGATTTTATTATTATGTAATTTATTGTCTCATGAACTGCTAGGCTGCCAGTTAAATCAATTTATAAGTAATTTATTTATTTTACTTATAGGCTTTAAATACAAGATGATAGATAATCATCTATCATAAATAGGTATATTGAAATGACAGTGGTAGATGAAACATTAAGCATCAGTATAAAAGTTCACAAAGCAAACATATTTTCCAATCTTTAATTTGGCTGTTACCGACCACTTAAGTTTTCTTATACTTGCTAAGTTGGTCTGCCATTTCTGTCTGACTTAATCATAAACATGTAACCTAATTTGCTCCTATCCCTAACCTAAACTTACCCTATCCCTATCTATGCCAACCACTCTTCAGGAACCCTAACCCTACCTAACCTAACTAATTTTACCCTAATGATAACCGACAAAAAGCGTTGTTTTATCACAGATTTTTTACATAGGAATTACATTCTTTATGTTGGTAGTTTTGGATTATCCTGGTTTCCATATTCACTGTTAAATCTGACAGACCAAAATGTGGGTTTAGCCAGATGAGGATGAGCTGAAACAACATAACAACCTCAAACAGAAATGCCAAAATTTAACACAAATCTAAAAATTGGACGTTTTACATGTTCAGAACTACCCAGTAACATAGTTAATACATTTAGCATTTTTATGATTTATTTGGTACTTCATGGATCACTACTGTACACTACACTGTGTTTAATTTAAAAAATAAAAAAATAAATAAAATTAAAATAAAAAATAAATTAGCCCACATATCGTTGCTAATTTAATATAATCATTTAAAAGCATCACAGATAAAGAATTTACTGATTTACAAGAAGTCGCTCAATTAAATTAAACAAATAAACTTGATCTGTTAACATTTTTCTTGTATTTTACCACTAGAATAATATTTCTTTAATCCTATATTTTCTCCAGTATTTGTCATTTTTGTTAATACAAATATATTTTGATGTAGTCTTTAGTTTTGTGGAAGAATATTGGTCTTTAACTCTCTTTACGACACATGATCCATGTAATTTGTAAATCTAACTCATTACATGTTGTAAATAATATTACAGATTATAATAAATATATTTAAAAAGTTTTGCAAGACAGCACATGAATATAAGAAAACTGGAAGAATTCAAGAAGTATTTTGGTAAATATTGTGAAAACCAAGGAACAAATGCGTTATAATTGAACAAAAAAATTGACTCAATATACCTGCTATTTGTCCATGTTAAAATTATTGAACTGGTTTTTAATTGACACGTTTGATTCAGCAGAAAGATAATAGAATCGAGTGAATCAGTGTTCATGTCAAAGCCAGAAGATTAATGCTTGTGTTCCTGTCTGCTTTGAGCTGATTTTCATTTGACTCGTTTTGTCATAGAAGTCGAATAATGAACTTGCACTTTTAAACGATGATTGATTGCTCAAAAGACTGCAAGGTTGAACATGATTTCAAATTCAGTCAAAAAACCCTGCAAAGGTCTATGAATTATATAAAATGTTTTATAGCTTGAAGGCAGCCAATTTTAATAGTTTGGTATATTTAATTGTGCATTGTAGTTGTATAATTTGAATTTGTGCTGCTGTTATGTTTTGTAATGTTGATTAGAAAGCCGGGCTTCAATCCATCTTGAAATATTTTAAAAAACAATATGAATAGTTCATTGGGTTTATTTCTTCTATATAATAATCACATAGTGAAAAAGAGTCTTTCGAGTTACTTTTCTCGTACTTATAAATTATAAATTGTAACAACGATTACAAGTAATAAGTAATATGTCAGGTTGGGACAAAATAAAGAAAATATTCCTCCATGCATTTTAATTAAACATTTTTTTTTTAAATGCCTGTACCATTATTGCCTTATCATCATTCAGCACCTTTCAACCCAACACAGAAAAACAAATAAATAACTCTAATAAATTTTAAAGTATCGTAGAAAATTTGAAAAATAAAATGGGTAATGATATAGTATCGTGGATAACGTCACCAATAAATAAAATAAATGAATTTAATTTAAAATTATATTCAGTCCCTTCTTGGGATCTCTCTTACACCTGCCAGTAAAAATCTTGTTTCCCTCAGCACCCCCTTTACGTCTGATATTGTAATTTAGATTGGCCTATCGGGCGCGTGACATTAGTAAAATAATTTGTATGGCAGAAATTCTATTTATTTTGTTTTCTTCATTTCTTCTGCTTGTGCTTTTGTGAGTATATTCCTTTGTCTTAATTGTTTTATGTGTGCTCTAATCCTAACCCTAACTCTTCCTAATATATCCTTACCAAGTCAGTTACCCTGACCATACTTAACTTAACCTAACCCAACCCTAATCCTAACAACTATAATTCTAACCAACGCTAAATGAGCAGAATTAGCAGAATCTTTTTATTGTGGATGATCAAGGGTGATTTAACATTTGAACAGTGTTTAAAGCTCAGTTAACTGAAAAATTCAAAGTGCAACAGACCGTCAAAGCATCTCCTTAACTTAATTTTGGAAAAACTTAAAGGTACAATTTTCCTTTCTACATTGAAATATACATCAGTATATGGTCCACTAGGAAAATGCTGTATTCAAGTGGCACGATGTCAGGGTTATGAGTAGGATACACCTACCATTTCTGTCTTTGTTAACCTAAAGTAAAAAAGTATTGTCTTGTCGCGGAATTGTTTTATATTGAATGACCAAAGATCAATTTAGCTTTCAGAACAGTGATAAGTAACCTAACCCGCCCTAATCCTAACCCTACCTAATTTAACCTTACCAGTCAGTAACCCTAACCCTAACTATATTTAACCTAACCCTAATCCTAATTTAACTGTAATTGTAACCACATTTCTAAGCCTATATCATCTAAATAAGAGTTTTTTATTTTCAAAGGTAAAGGGTCAATTTAACATTTAAACAGTCAAATAAAGCTGTGTTTAAAGCTCAGCTGTCTGTACAAAATTCAACATGCGAAACACCATCATGGTCTTATAACTACTTATTATTCGGAAAACTTTATAGCAACATTCTTTCTGTACGATTGAATGAAAACGCCATAGTGAGGTGGCACGTCGTCAGGGTTATAAGCAGGGCGAAGCATGACACACCTACCATTTCTGTCTACATCAAGCTAAATATCTATCTCGTTGCAGAATTGTTTATTTTATAAAATTCAAAAGACAATTTAACCTTTAGACCATTTGAATAAAGCTGTGTTTAAAGTTCATCCGCATGTGAAAAATTCAAAACAAACATCGCCTTGGCAAAATTTAAAAACTGGCGCTAAGCACACACATTTTCTTCGTTGCATGGAAAAATATTGAATCATGGATACGTAACTTAACCCACCCTTAATCCTAACCTTAACTGTACTTAACCTAATTCATCCCAAACCGTAATTATATCTAAAATAATCTAACTTTACCTGTCCCTGACCCTAACTTATCCTAACCCTAATCTAACCTTACCTTATCGCTAACCCTGTTAACCTGGTTATGTGAAAATGGTCATGTAAAAAAAATTGTTTTCAGCCCAAAAACATATCCATGCTAAAACCAGTCTAGGAGGAAATTTTCAATGCTGAATTTTTTCAAACGCTCATGTGTACAGCCTAGTGTTCTGTGACTGGCATAATCAAGGGTGATTTTCAATGTAAAACAGCTTTGCAATTCAGATCCATCCGGTCACACTGCCAAGGTTAATAATTCAACGATTCACATGCTTTTAACGAGGCCGTTCTTCTAACTGTTTTCCAGGACTGAAAAGAAAAAGAACAGACCCCATGGGATCAAGGGAACCACGCTAATGAGTTCACTTCTGTCACAAATTGTCCATATACTGTGAGAAAAATGAAGAGCACGTACAAAGTTGTTAGTGCTTTGTTTATGAAAAGGAAATTAAAATATAGCCTATATTTGTAAAGGTCAGTTTATCTGACATTAATAACGTGATTTTTGAAGCCGTGCTTAACATTTTAAGAATATTCAATACTCTCCTCCGCTTTAATTCCGTCCATTTCTGGTTCATGTAAACCACATGAAAGGAGTAATAAGCTCAAGAAAATATGAGGCTGAGTATGGACTTATAAAATCAAAGAAATTTAATTAATTTTTTATAAGAGATTTTTATTGATTTTTTTTGTTCAGGTTTTGATGGTTCTTAATGGGAAGAAGCTAGATTTCAAGACATGTCAACATCAACAAATGGGAAGTACCAGGACTCGTTTCTCGAGGTCAGTCAAAGAGGCGAAGTACCGGCGATCAAAGCTAACAATTCTGCCTTCTGTGATCCCCCCGCCATCATCAACTATCTCGGGGAGAATTACGCAATGGTAATAAAAAAGTTTATTGTATCTAGGTACATTTTAATTTTATGGCGTCCTTGTGCCCTGTTGTGAAGGAAGATTGGATTACTTCTGTTGTTGGGTCTTCTTAAGGAAAACTGCTAACTCAAGAAGCAATCTGCTACCGAGTTTTGACCCGGTGCGTGAAATTTTGAAGGGCATGAAATTCCAATTTGGCCGCTTTGTTTTTCTTCTTTTTTTTAAACTGTTTCAACCCATTTTCTCCAAAGCGATTACTCGACTCGGACCGTGTCTCCTCTCCGATATGACCGGATCGAAACCTTGAGTTTCTCGGCCGTAAAAAAAAACAAAAAAACAACACGCCAGTCACCGGCAATAACGCTTCCCAGACGACGAGATCGATCCGGACGGTGCCAGACGGACGAAATTGTCCGGATTGGAAGGGGGAAATTTTATGTACTGGCTGGACTTCTCGCCGCCTCAAGGTTTACAGCCCCTGTTTTATTCTTTTATTGAAAATATTGTTTTATTTTAGAAATATAAAGCGAAACTGCTAATTGCAGTCATAAGCAATACAATTCAACATGGATCAAACTAAATTTTCAAGGTATACATATTCTAACTTCATATAGTATAAATTACAGTAAGGTTGACTAGAACAATAAAAAATGACGTCAGGGTTATAAGCAGGGCAAGACTTACTACGCCTACTATTTCTGCCAGTGCCAACCTAAATATTAGTCGGGTGGCATGGTGTCAGGGTTATAAGCAGGCCCATTTGTCCATTCGCTCTCACTATGAAGCTTCAGGGAAAAACGTTGAATTAAGGATGACATTTGCATTCCTAACCTAACCTAACCTAACCCGTTCTTAACCCTAACCCATACATAACCTAACCCAACCGATGCCTACTCCCCGGCTACACGAAAATGTTCAGGCAAAAAATCGTATATCGAATCCAAAAAATATCCATTGTTAAAACCTGTCTATGTTGAACTTTTTCCATATAAATGGGTTTAGCTAGTGTTTTGCTGCCGACATGCAGCCAATGTATAACATCTTTGCAATTAAGATCCATCTGGACAAATTTCGAGAAACCATGAAGACATGCCTACGTATAACGAGATTTTTTAGAGGGGATAAGAAAAACCACTTATTGAACCACCGGCCGCTAAAAAACACACAGCATTAACGTTTCCATTCTTTCTCATAAAATAGATGGCTTGATTTTGTATGGCGTAGATTTCTGACTTTCGTAACAACTTCCTTCAAGGCAAATACCTTTTTTTATGATCAGCACAGATTTTTGAAAAAGAATTTTGCACGTTGGCATGAAGATTAAAATCTTAGTTTATCTTATTATTAAAATCTTAATTATATTTTAACCATTCATATTTATTCTAACCATAATCCAACCTAACGTCCCTAACCTTACTCGATCCTTACCTTAACCTCCTAACCTAACGTAACTTGAGCACTCCACCATGGTAACTTGAAATCGATGAAATAATCACAAAAAATTCCAATCAGAAAACATATCCATGTCCTGTCTAGTGGAAATTTTCATTGTTGAACTATTTCGAAGGCTGATTGGTTCAATATTCCTGGGACTGGCGTAACCAAGGATGATTTTCAATGTAAAACAGCTTTTGGGAACCATGCGGCCAAATTTGAGAAACCATGAAAGCACCTGCTTTCGTCTAACAGGATTAAAACTATAACAATAAAGTTTCCATTCTTTCTCGGTTAATTTTAAATGGCGTTGATTTCTGGATTTTTTNACTCGAGTCTAACCCTAACCCTATTAGCCGGCGAAAATAAGCCAAATTGATCATAAAATGATGAGTATTCTTTGAAGCTCCAATTTTCACAGTTCCAGTGTTTTCCCCTAAGTTCTGACTACCCATAAAATCGTCAATTTCAACGGACCGAGGAGCAGTTTCTAAGTAGGAAACAAGCCCATGTTTTTAGAGAGAGACTTTCACGTTTAAACATCGCCTTTTGACCCCCCAGGGCTAATTTTGCCGATTCCGAAAGCTTTCACCGCTTCGGCGTTATTTATATTGTAAATATTAACCCGTGAGCGGGCCTCACGATTTCAAAAATTAATGATTCACGATCGCGCCCATAACGCCCGGGGTAACGCCGTTCGAACGTGCCAAAAAGGAAAACGATACCGAGGACTCGATATTGGATAGAAAATGAGCCAAATTCACGCTCCATTTTCCCCCCTTTCCTGGACGTTGGTCAAGAAGATTGGGAAAACCTCTTTCGAAATGGTAGCTGCATCTGGCCGACTGTGAACGTTAAATCGCATCGGTGATAAACACATATTTGCATCCTTGCTCTGAAAATGGTAAGCAATCAAAGGAAATAGAACACTAATAAAAATATTTCTTATCCAATCAGAATAAAACTTCCCATTAAGACTTCAGTCTTAACGTCTTTTTTGAATTTTTATGTGTACCATTTTATCTCATGGAAAGATAGCTTCAAAAACCTGTTATCTTAGAACTGAGACAGGGAAAATCGTCAAAACTCAACTCTGTACAGGCCATTACTGCTATTTTCGATATAAGGAGTGGAGCTGTTTGGTTCCACCAAACCGTCCAATATCCAGAGAATTTCATCCTCCTTTTATCCTCTTAAACCTTTTTTTACAGTCCTAAATCAGATTATACTTGATGAACGCCATGGACTTTTGGACAGATATTTTGCTCTGGGGTTTTTACTGCCCTAATAAAACTCCTGGTTATTTTCTTTTTCTTATTGGACAGCGTGTACCATTCGCGGTCGTGAGCAAGCTGTTTTCTTTTTAAAAGGAGGTTTAAGAAGTGCGTGAGAAAGCAATAAACGAGTGGATCTGGTCGTAAGCATTTTTTTTCTCTCCCTCTCTCTTTTTCCCTTTATTAATCGCCTTCACTTGAATAAAGGCTTATACTAATCCAATCAGCTATTGGATCCGGCTTCTTTTATTTGCCCGCACATCCAACAAAAAGATCAAACCTGACCAATGTGAAATGTACGCAGAATCATACACTATCATATGGAAATGGTCGGCTTGGTAATTGCAAAATGGTTTTCCAGTTTCCACCTGACAAAAGAAAACAAAGAGCAAAAATAAACGTGTCCTTCTGTTAGACCAAAAAGATTACAAATTTTCATACATTTCCTTTTTTTTAAAGTAAAAAATACTAAAAATTACATTAAAATAAGCATAAAGATTGCTTCATGTGTTTGTATAATCGAAATCAAGCACAATTTTATAACTAAGACTCATACATTTAAAAAAATCAAATCGATATCTTCTTGAGATTTAAAATTATTCATGTTTCAACTATTTGAACACAAAAGAATAAAAAAAAATACACAACTTTTCACTAATTACACATTCAATTTATCAATAGAATACACCAGATATTTCCAGTTGGTAAATAATTTTAATATGTTTATATTTTCAATACCAATGTGTCAATATAGAAGTTATCCCTCTGGTTTTAATGGATATGTTTTGTGCTGGAACATTTTGGCGTCATCAATTTTGTTTTAGGATTAGGGACAGATTAGTTTAGGTTAGGTTAGGAGGGTAATGAGGTTAGGTAGATTTAGGGTTAAGGTTAGGGACAGGTTAGATTAGGCTAGGTATGATAGGATAAATTCTATGGTTAGGGACAGGCTAGGCTAAGTTACGATCAAGGGGTAATGTCCTATCCGAATAGAGGAGACTGGGATAAACAATTTTAACAAAAAACTATTTAATGAAATTTTTCTTGGTGGTACTAGATCGAAATATATTAGCATCTGTACGAGCGTTCTAGCCTTTTTTAAAATAATTTTCAATTAATTTTTTAGTGTAGGTTTACGGTTTGGTTAGGTAGGGTAAAGGTTATGGTTAGGAACAGGGTAGGTTAGGTTAGGTAGAGTTAGGGTAAGGTTAATGTTAAGTAAATTTCATGTTTTACATTGAAAATCACTAGCTGGCCAAATCAGCCTTCGAAAAATTACAACATTGAAAATTTCAACCTAAACAGGTTTTAATATGGATATATTTTTGGCTGGATACACAATTTTTTGTCTACACATTTTTGCGTTACAGAGGGCTTCGTTAGGTTAGGTTACGTTAAATTAGGTAGGGTAAAGGTTATGGCTATGGGCAGGTTAAGTTAGGTTACGGCGTTGATGGTAAGAACTCAAAGGGTTTCCAGAGAATTTTGAAAAATGGAAAAAAGGAGGGAAAATTCAAAAGGTGGGGTTGAGATGGGAAGTTGGTATCCGAGTGGATCGAAGTCTCAAGTGGTAGAGCAGCGGCGTATTTAGCTGAAGGTCGTGGGTTCGAATCCCGCTCGTGACACTGACTTTTTTACCTCAACCAATACCTTACTTAAAAATTAATTAATTGTTGAGAGATAACCTTCAAAAAGCGCTCGGATGAGTCATTGTGCAGTTTACGGTTATGGTTAGGTACATGCTAGGTTAAGTTAGGTTCAAACTACACAATATCTTATTTCAGCCCTTATTGGAAGGTTATCTCTTAACTTTTCGTCTTTTTTGCCTTGCTCATTTGTTTGTTAATAATCTTTCTTACTATTCGGATGAACGTTACAAATATGATCTTGCGAATCTTGGTGAGTTAGATGCTGTTCTGAATTTGTCCAACAAGTTCCCGCCATATTTTTCCCTAGTTTAAACTTAAAATTAGGGCATTAATGCAATTTAATTTGCGACTTTAAGCTGAACCACAGTTGTAGGTACTTTTTTAAATATTTTATTTCAGAATAAAGTTTGTGCATATTTTGTGAGTCCGTGAAGTCTCGTGAATTTTCCTTAAGATTATTACAGTTCAGGTATTAAAACATTTTTAATTAGAAAGGTGGGTTTTTGTGTGTATTTTAATTTGAGAGAATTAATTAGAAATTAATTAAATATTGCCCCCTGTCAACTGGTCCGCCTATTCTCGCTATGGCTGCGATCAACCTGCCTTTCCCCATCGGAAAGCGGCGGTCACGGACTATGGAATCGCGAATTGGGCTGTTCTCAGACCAAACAAGGCTCGACATGATCCACGCTGTTTTCTCGGTGTAATCTCGCCAATAGTCAGGCGATTAAGGCGATTTTGTTAATACACAGGAGAATTTTCACGTTTGTTAATTAACCGGTAGAAAAAGATAAAAAATGTATAAACAAGAAGAAGAAAGTGCAAGGAAATGCTAAATGAAGTAATGATCTTTTTTGACATATCAAATGTATAAATCTGTGTCATAGCTGAATTTGATTTTTTTTTCTCTCTACGATTCATATGATTTTCCGCGATGCTCTTTCACGAATGCACGCCCCAGCAGCCTTTAAAGGATATTAGAAAGACCCTGTAATTTAAAGGCTGAAATGAGCCTCGTATGATCTCCCTGATAAAATCTCTCGCCCCACTGAGGCTGCTCGAGATCCGGTTTCGCTTTCGGCTGGCAGTCTAGAGTTTGAAAAATTCAAGAAAAAAAATCACCTCGGAAAATCTTTTTGGAGACGTTCACCCAAGGATCATACTGTCGGAGAGGGACGTATACGATAGGTAAAGCCATCCACGCCTTCCCAGAGTAGGTCATAACAGTCGGCGCTTTTGTACATAACTGTGCCACAGGGAAGTCAAAACTGCCATTCCTTCTCCCGGTACGTAGCCCATGAAAAGCAAGTACAATTCGATTTAATTGACAACTGGAGTGCCATCGTTTGGATTAGATTAGGTTAAGTTAGATTAGATAGGGTAAAGGTTATGGTTAAGGTCAGGTTAGCTTAGGTTACGGTCAAGGTGATGATGATCAGAACTCAAAGGAATTCCACAGATAATGTCCAAACTCAGGGGCGGCTATGGGAATGGGATCAACAATTTTAATGCAATTTTTTCTTGGTGATACTAGGTCGAAAATCATTAGCCTCGTTATCTGAGCGTTCTTGCCTTTTTTAAAATAATTTTTAATTACCTATCCATTTTCTTCATTTTACACCGTCCCAGAGGTCATAACAGTCGGCGCTTTTGTACAAAGCGATGTCACAGAGAGGTTGAAACTGCTATCCCTCCATTGTCTAAAGTTAATCCGCGAATGGATAGAAGTCTGGGAAACGATGAAGAACGAGCGAAATAAAAAGCAAGTTGCACAAATTCATTTGGTTGGGTGAGGGTTATGGTTAAGGACAGGTTAGGTTAGGTTTGGGAGAGTTAGGTTAAGCTAGCTAGTGTAAGGGTTATGGTTAGGGACAGGTTAGGTTAGGTTTGAGAGAGTTAGGTTAAGTTAGCTAGTGTAAGGGTTATGGTTAGGGGCAGGTTAGGTTAGGTTTGGGAGAGTTAGGTTAATTTAGCTAGTGTAAGGGTTATGGCTAGGGACAGGTTTGGTTAGGTTTTAGAGAGTTAGGTTAAGTTAGCTAGTGTAAGGGTTATGGTTAGGAACAGGTTAGGTTAGGTTTTGGAGAGTTAGGTTAAGTTAGCTAGTGTAAGGGTTATGGTTTGGGGCAGGTTAGGTAGTGTTACGGTGTTGGGGCTAGATTCATAACAAAAGCCGTGCTACAAATAAACAGGCGTTTATCAACAATTGGTAAAATTACTATTAATTATACTTTGTTTTTTACGATAGTTAATATTTTTTATGTGCGAAACTGTTAAAACAGTGAATTTCTTTCTTTAGAAACAGACTTTTATCCGTCAAATATTTTCACGAAATTTGAATTTTATCTATGTTTTTATTATAAAAGAATTTAGCATAAAGTTTGTGGATTGTGCTAAATAACTTACCACCTCATTTGTCTAAAAAAAGTTGCTTGTTTTAGCTGATATTACCAGCCTGGCTGCTGGAAAAGTGAAATCTTTGGCCGAGATGAAAACAGGACGGTGCAAAGGCACCTGCTCGAAAAAAGCAGACATGGAGAAGACATGGGAGATGCTTTCGAACCGCGACTCCTTCTTGAAGGTGCTCGACGACGTCGATGAGGTGAGGTCGAGGCCCAACTAGAGAAAAACGAAGGTGAAACAGAAAATAATCAGTTCGGTTGATACACGCAGAGGAGCAAAGGTGGAAGCTATTTATCTTCTGCCCCGGAAAGAACGTCCCGGGAGTCTTTGACCTTATAACAAGAGGTCCTTGAGATCCACCCACTCTCGTTCATTTCGTCATTTTGAAACGATAAAAATATCGAAGAAGAGGGTTTTTATTTCTGTCTCACACCGTAGTCCTGCCCATGAGGAGCATATGTTCCTCTGAGAAAACATAGAAAAAATTTATAGGACTAAATTTAGTATTCGTAAGGCCTTCTTATCTCAAGGAATCCTTCGTGGAATTAAAAAAAAATCAATACTATGATGTTATATTTTTTAAATTAGCGCATGTCTTTACCAGATCCGCGACACCATCTACATATTTATTATATACGATGTAATAAGCTGGAACATTCGCCTAGACTAGTACGAGTTTTGACTAAGTTCTTTCAAGGAATCAACGTCTTGCCTCAGCCTGCTTATAACTCTGACTCCAGTCATCCGATTTTGGTCAATTCCAATTCAAATGTCTGTCGTTTCAATTGCACAAGTTTTTTTTTCCAAAGAAATGTACTATTAAAACATTAAACATGTTAAATTCGGACTCGAACAATTTTATACCTTGTGACCAATGACTTACACTGAAGGAATCAGGGTTTTGCCTCAGCTTCCTTATATCCCTGAACCACCTACGCTTATATCCTTTTAATAGATCTTTTCAAAATAATGTAAAATTAGAACTCGAGGAATAACATATCTTGAAACCAATAATATAAGCTGAAGAACCGTTGCCTCCCCCTGCTTATACCCTGACGTCGCAATTTTTTTTTTTTAAGAAAGCATTGTTAAAATAGCAAACACGAAGATTTCATAATATGTGATCAATGACTTACACTGAAGAAATCAACGTCTTGTCCCACCCTGCTTATAACCCTGATGATGTACCTATCATCTAACTTTAGTCATATCCTTTCTACTGTTCAATATCTCAAGAAATGCACTAAAGACGGCAAGTATGTAAAAATTAGGACAGGTTGAGTTTCATACCTTGTAAGGAATGATAAAAACTGAAGGAAAAACTGAATCTCGCCTTACCCTACTTATAACCCTGACGTCCCATATGCTCAAATCTATTGAATGTCACAATGTTTCTTAAAGAATTACACTTTTGAAACTTGCAAATATGTAGAATTATGAGTCGCCGAGTTTCATACCTTTTAACCAATGCCATAAAACAAAGGGACGACTTGTCTCACCCTGCTTATAACCCTGATAATGTACCTATCATCTAACTTTAGTCATATCCTTTCTACTGTTCAATATCTCAAGAAATGCACTAAAGACGGCAAGTATGTAAAAATTAGGACAGGTTGAGTTTCATACCTTGTAAGGAATGATAAAAACTGAAGGAAAAACTGAATCTCGCCTTACCCTACTTATAACCCTGACGTCCCATATGCTCAAATCTATTGAATGTCACAATGTTTCTTAAAGAATTACACTTTTGAAACTTGCAAATATGTAGAATGACTCGCCGAGTTTCACAACTTTTAACCAATGTCATAAAACGAATGGACGTCTTGTCCGAGCTTACAACCCTCACGTCCCCTCCTGGTTTTTGATATATATTCTATGTATCTTACTTTTTTAATGACTCGAGGATCATCTCCGAAGATGTCCTCAACTTTGTGTAATGATTTGGCCTTAAGTTCGAGAAAGTCGACTTTTCAGTCCTGGTTGTCCAGGTGACTGATTGCAAAATTAAACCTACTATCGCGACTATCATCTAATGTTTTCAACTTGTCAGATCGGAAAGTTTCCAAGGCGATCATGGCATTTTAATAAGCCGGCGTGCAGAACAATGATTAAGGCCCCTGGTCGGTTCCCCATGCGAAAGAGGGCATTGTGCAAAGATTGGGATCGGCGCTAAGTAATCCGGCCGGCATTGAACTTAGGCATTCCGATCCCGGGTTGAACGCCCACGGTTCCAAAGTACCGCACCGGCCACAAAAGATCCGTTTTTCTTTTCTTCCCTTTTTCAACTAATTAGCTTCATACGAACCCCCTGGGAAGCCGGATAATGGACCGTTTGTTTCACAACGGCCCGACCGGTTGCGGTTTCGATTTTCCATTAGGCGCGAGGCGTCCCGGCACGGAAAATTTTTCTCGTTTTCAATCGATCTTTTTTTTCTCCTTATCCAGATCACGGGGTCAACCGGTTAACGGATTTCCCTCAAGGAAAGAAAAGACCCGGTGAAAAGAGCGTTTTCTCCCCTTGGACACTTTTCCGTCCTTGTACACGGAGGGCGACGGAGCGAAGCACCCCATGGGGAAAAATAGGCGACGTGAGGGAAAGTTGTGAAAATTAAACAAATTGCCGTGGCAATAGGACGACTACATCGACTCATCCAGATAATTACTAACATTTATAGTTCGTTGCCTTCGTCGTCGGCTCTCATACCCACGCCTCATATTGACTTTCTTTTTATTTTTTAATTAAACGTCACAGGAAAAATCACACACAATTATAGAATAGTTTAATCATTTCAAAGTGTTCTTCATATGACAGGAGAGGATACGGACGTGGGATCCCGGATTTTAATGAAACTTTTTTAAAATCGTATCTGGTAGCAAACAGAAATAAAAAAATACGATAATGAGAAGCAAATGGACGTTTGATATACAGGATAGTCGGCTACTCGTGTTACAAACTTTGCCAATAGTATCTCCATTCAAAATGGACCCAAAAAGTCCTAACTAACTATAATCTGAATCTCAACAGTTTCGGAGTTATTTCACTTTTACTGATTTTTTAAGATTTCACGACCTTGCTTCAAATAAACAATGATAACTCCAAAACTAAAAGGTTTAGGACAAATCCTTTGATACGATTAAAAACAACGTTAAATTTTCAATAAGATGTGATCAATACTAAATAAGCGTTTTGGTAGCCAGAACTTGGAAAAATAATTTTTTTTAAATTGAAAAATTACTATTGTGATTCTAAACTACCATTTCAAACCGAGAGACCAGCAAATTTCAGAAAACATACTCCATTTAATATCCTTTCTATTGGTGTAATTGCTTTTTTAATTACTTTTTTTAAAGATGAAGAAATTGATGAAGGAGAAGAAAAAAACCGTATTTGACGGATTGGTAAGGTGGAAAGATTATTAAACTTTTTTTAAAGAATTTTCTTTGGAAATGCTCTCCACCCTCCGCAATGCACAAACGAGCCCTGTGTTAGTAAACAAGTAAAAAAAGTTTCGAACCTAATTAAAAAACATTTAATAAATTCATCCAAAATTCCCAAGATCCAAAATCCAAAAGTTTTATTATTTTTTTTATCTTTCCACTTTACCAATCCGTCCACCACGGTTTTTTCCTCCCCTTCATCAATTTATTCATCTTTGAAAAAGTAATTACACCACTAAAAGGATATTAAATGGATAACGTTCTTTGAGATTTGCTAGTCTCTAGGTTGGGAAATAGTAGTTTAGAATCACCATAGTTTTTCAAGTTTGAAACAAAATAATTAATACTTTTTATGTAAGGTTTTGGTTGAAATGAAAAAGTTAATATCACGAGCGGGATTCGAACCCACGATTTTCGGCTCAATACTTCGATCGAAGTCACGATTGCTCAAGTGGTTAGAGCAACAGCGTATTTAGCCGAAGGTCGTGGGTTCGAATCCCGCTCGTGGCACTAACTTTTTCATTTCAACCAAAACCTTACATAAAAGGGATTAATTAATTGAAAGAAGAAATTTGGCCAATAGATGACTAAATATAATGGATTGATACAAAAATTATTTTTCACGTTCTGGCTACTAAACCGCTTATTTCACCAATATTTACAAGTTTAGTATTGAACACATCTTATTAACGTAGTTTTCAATGATATCAACGGATTTTTCTAAAACCTTTCAGTTTTAAAGTTATCATTATTTATTTGAAGCAAGGTAGTGAAATCTTAAAAAAATCCGAAAAAAGGGGAATAACTCCGAAACAGTTGAGATTCGGACCATAGTTAGTTTGGACCTTTTGGTTACATTTTGAAGTAGAATCTCCTGGCAAAGTTTGTAAGACGAGTAGCCGAACACCCTGTATTTATAGAAGCCAGAGAACAACAAAACTTGTTAACAGAAAACCGTATATATATATATATATATATATATATATACANATATATAAAGATAGATAGATGGATAATGAATTAAGAATTTCTAACCAAGCAACTTACCAAAATAGGTTCATTTTTTTAAAGCTAGAAACTAAGTTGATATTCGTTTTTGCACCCCCTAAGACCCCAGAATACCAATTTTTGTTTGGGAAAAACAAAAAATAATTTTCTTTTCTCAAATATTTATCTTTCCAAATGTCACCGATTTTTTTTTAGAAATTCACAAAAGTGGTGATAATCTTAAAACGCTTCCACTCATCCCTAACCATCCCTAATCCTACTTTTAACCTTACTAACCCGCCCCTAATATTAACCCTGATCCCAATCTTAACCTTATTTAACCAAACTTAACCCGCCCATAACCCTAACCCTAACCCTAACTTAAACTAACCTCTACTTTAAATAACCCTATCGTTATCCTACCCCAAACCTTACTTAACCCGTCCGTAATATTAACACTGATCCTCAACTTAACCCTACCTAATCTAACTTAACCCGTATCTAACCCTAGTCCTACCCAACCCTAATTGTACAACAATAATACGAACAAAAAATAACTTTTATTATCTATGTTTACATGGGATGGCCACTTTACATGGGTTGAACGTACTTGAGATGACGTTCTTTGAACAAATTTCTTTTCTATTGTTTTTCCGGTAAAATTTTACATGTTATGACTGGAAATACCTGATAATACTTTCAACAATTAAATATACATGGTTGCGCTGTTAAATTCATTTAAATGTTTTTTTTTTTTTAATTACATTGTCACAGTTGAGTCAGGAAATGTGTCTTTAGCTTCAGACAATATAAAAGTGGTTTTAGGATTTTTTCATCTTTCTTGTTTTTATTTAGTCAAATTGCAATATTTTAATTGATAATTCCTGGTTTTTTTGACAGTTTTACACCCTAGCGGTGTTAAGTTGCTAATCACCAATTTTACCTTGGCTTATTTGCACTATAATGAACTTCAGGTTATGTAAATATATAATTACAATATAATACGTAACAGCGATGCTTTTTATGGACATAGTAGCTCGTTATTGGACCGGGGATTTTGACATTGAGTCTGTTTTCTCCATATATTGCATGTATTATAATATATACGCGATGTGCTGAATGATTTAAGAGCAAAAAAAAAATCGGCGGTGTAGAATTTTAAATTATTTTTCCCCGCGTGTTTCTTCCAAAACGGTATTGGTTGTTAGCCTCAGGGTCGAGAGGCTTTATGACCGGTAAATCGGCCGTGGCGTTTTGCCGTCTTTAATTCATCGGCGATGAATTAAGACCTGAAGGCTGCGGGGGACCTTGTGCAAGGTCAGACCGGCGCATGGAGCCCTGTTCCTACGTGGGGAGCGATCGGGCAAGGTCCCGAAGTGGGGATCGATCCGAGGAAGGGGCCCGGGCAGAAAATCCGCCGACAGCTCAGTCGAGTGAGGAAGACGAAATGGCCGTCATGATCGAACAGAGGGGCTTTCGCCCGTTCAAGTCCTCCGAGGAATACCTTTACGCCATGAAGGAGGACTTGGCGGAATGGCTCAACAACCTGTACCCGGATCTTTACATGACAGTGGACAACTTCTTCGACAGGCTGGACACGGGAGTGCTGCTCTGCAGACACGCCAATCTTGTGAGGGAGTACGCTCAGAGGTACGTCAAGTGGAAAGGCGACGAAGGAAAGACGGAATCGAAAGAGGCGTTTAACGTGTTGAAATACCCTTCGGTGAAGTGCTTCAATTCCGCGAAGCAGGGGACCTTCTTCGCCAGGGACAACGTGTCCAACTTCATCGCCTGGTGTCGGCACGCTCTAGGGATCATCGACTGCCTCCTCTTCGAGACGGACGATTTGATACTCCTGAAAAACGAGAAGAACGTGATACTCTGCCTGCTCGAACTCGCCAGGTGTGGTACCAAATTCGGCATGCCCGCACCGACTCTGATTCTCATGGAGAAGGAAATAGACGAGGAGATAGCTAGGGAGGCCGACGAAGGGGTCGACATGAGTACGGACTCGGAACCGGAAGTCGGCCTCGGCCAGGGACAGATAGTCACCAACGACCTCAAAAACCTCGACGACATGGTGCGCGTACAGGTGCAGATGTGCAAGTGTCCGACCCAGTTCCCGATGATCAGGGTCTCCGAAGGGAAGTACAGGATCGGCGATACCAAGGTGTTGATCTTCGTCCGCCTCCTGAGAAACCACGTTATGGTGAGGGTCGGTGGCGGGTGGGACACGCTAGCCCATTATCTTGACAAACACGACCCCTGCAGGTGCAGGACTTCCCACAAGACGGCCGTCTCGGCCAAGATGACCGGAGCGAAGACGGGCGGACCCCATATCCAGATCGCCAAAGCCAAAGTCACCTACGAGAGGAAGGATATCAGAAAAGAGACAGTCTGGGGTGCCCAGCCCTACTGCGAACCCCATGTCCACGTATCCCCGACTCCATGAAAAATGAAATAATCTCAGGTTTGACCACGAGAATTTCAAGCCAAATGTGTATTTTAAAACAGGATTAAAAAAATATATTTAATCATTTATTTAACTTCTATCTCTCTTTTTCATAGTGATCCATGTGCAATAATGGTGCATTTTTCAATTTTGTGATAATTAACCCTAAGAAAAGCTAAAACAAAAAAAAATTATATACTTTTTCAAGTTACCAATTTATAAATAATGTACATTTATATTGTATATAAAACTGCTTAAATGTATATATAATTTATTACGCTTTTTTTATATAAAATGTATTTGGAAAAAAATAAGTTTTGGTTTGGTATTTTTTATATTCTTTTGTATACGAAAAATAATTAATAAAATATATAACTATCATATTTTTTATATTTTTGGCGGTTTGAATAAAAAAATTAAACTATTTTTAAAGATGTCTTTTTAAAATTAGCAAAAAACAAGCATACATATTATTATTTTTCTATTTAAAATTAAAGGTTGAGGTTTCCATTTATTTTGCTAATATATTTTTTTCGAAAATAAATCATATATTTTTTATTCAATTCCCTTTAAATCCTTATATTTAAACAAGATTAAAAATATGTAAACAACATGCCTGACATGCTTGGTTTGATTATTATTGCTCGCCAGAGCTCGACTTGCAGAAGTGGTATTTTTGTTATGATCAATTTGTTATTCTGAAATTAATTTACAATAGTCTTTTACATGCTTCCTCGTGTAAACATTAAGTAAAATGTTATAGTTGTCATTATTAGGATCAGTGATTAACTGATCTACTTGATTTGTTTATTTGATTGGTAATTTTTAATTTTCACCTGGTAGTTTTTCTAATTTTATAATCTTTTAAAAGCAACTATAAGACGGTTGTGCCCCTGCAAATCAAATAAACAAACCCTGGTCTGAAAATCTAAAGAATCGCCATAAATCTATTTACATATTTTTATCTAAAACATGAGAAGTCAACAGGGTTTACTTATTTGATTGGTATTTTTTAAACTTTCATCTACCATGATTTTCTAGTTTTATAAGTTTCTATGCAACTAGAAGAAAATTTCGCCCCTGCAAAACAATTAACCCTGGGTCTGAACTTCTGAAGAGTCGCCATAAATTCCTTTACATATTTTGATGTAAAACACGAAAAATCAACTCGATTTGTTTATTTTGTGATTTTCATATATCAGATTTTCTAGTTTCATAATTTTTTAAGCAACTACAAGATGATTTCGCCTCTGCAAAACAATTAACCCTGGGTCTGAATTTCTGAAGAATCGCCATAAATCCGTTAACATATTTTGACGTAAAACATGAAAAATCAACATGATTTATTTATTTGATTGGTATTTTTTACACGTTCATCTACCATGATTTTCTAGTTTTATAAGATTCTATGCAACTAGAAGAAGATTTCACCCCTGCAAAACAATTAACCCCTGGGTCTGAACTACTGAAGAATACCCATGAACCTTTTTGAAGTTTTGGGTGTATAATTTGAAAAATCCATTTGCTGTCATTGTCTGTGTGATAGTTTGTATTTGAAGGGTGCGAATTTTTATTTATTTTTACAAATTTTCATTTCTCCAACCTACCAACCCTCGGACGGAAATTCTGTAATATCCCCGTAAATTCATTTTTACGGAAAAGACGTATTTTTTAATTTGCATTTGCCTTATTTTTCAGTTTTATAGATTTTTTTTCAACTGTATAAAGATTTTAGCACAGTAAATCAACTAATCCTGGGTAGGAAGATCCGAAGAGTTGCCGTAAATCTCTTTCCATATTTTGATGCCAAACATGAAAAGTCAACATGATTTATTTATTTGATTGGTATTTTTAAAATTTTCATCAACCAAATTTTCTAGTTTCATAATCTTTTGAGCAAAACTACAAGACGATTTTGCCCCTGCAAATCAATTAACCCCAGGTATGAAAGTATATAGAGTTGCCATAAATCCCTTTACATATTTTCATGTAAAGCATGAAAAATCAACTTGATTTGTTTATTTCATTTGTATTTTGTAATTTTCATCTGCCAGATTTTCTAGTTTTATAAGATTTTATGCAACTACAGAAAGATTTTTTCTCTGGGTCTAACGAGTCGCTATAAATCCCTTTACAAATTTTTATCTAAAAAACAAAAATCTACTGGATTTCATTGTTTAGACTTTCAAAATTACAACCAGACTCTTTCACGTATTTTTCATGCAAAACAGCCAACCCCGTGTCTTATCATAAACCTGACACCTATATTTTTACGGGAAATAAGATATTCCTCGTATATTTCTTAGTTATTTTTTAAATCTTCTTTCTACCACAGGCAGTACAAACAATGAGCCATGTGGTCCACCTCTTCGTCTAAATTGTTGCTTGTCACTTTTTCACGTGTCCAGTTTCGAACTTTTCCATCTCCTCCAGTTTCTCACTCTCGGGTCTTCGATAAATCGCGATGACCTGTTAAACGAAATCACTTCCACCGTGGGCGTTTTGTGCGGGGGTCGCACCGTCTTTTCACCAAACTCGATCACGTTCCAACCGCCAAAAGCTCGTGTCGCAACGGAAATTTACAGACTCGGATTTTCTCTCCATCGTGGGCGTCCTTAAGCCGGTCAATTTGTTTTTGCCTTTCTTGCGAGTTTGATAATTTAATCTATCCCCCTCTTTCTTCTTCGTTTTGTGGCTTTAAAAACCGTCTAATCCCTGTCAAAATAATAAAGTTTTTAAAGGGATATGTATATAAATTTAGAAAAATAATAGAAGTATTACGTACAAAAAGAGAAAAATAAGATATCTCAAAATGTTAATATCTACGTTATTTATGTGGTAAAAGAGGAAGTGTCCTTATTTGAGCGTCAATTTAACATCCCTAGTTTAGTCAGCTTGTTATTAAAAATAAATTGGATGCCAGATAGACATCAGTATGTAAAAAATATATTATACTTTAAGTTCATTATGTTTCGTGGTCCTTTTTGACCAAATAACTTCTTTCAATTAATTAATATTTTTTTATTATGTAAGGTATTGTTGAAATTAAAAAGCTAGTGTCACGAGCGGGATTCGAACCCACATTTGGAAAATGACAAAAAGGAGGGAAAAAGTCGTAAGGTAGGTTGATGAGGTGGGGCGTTGGTGTCCGAGTGGATCGAAGTCACGATAGGTCAAGTGGTTAGAGCGGCGGCGTATTTAGCCGAAGGTCGTGGGTTCGAATCCCGCTCGAGAGACTGACTTTTTTTTATCTCAACCAATACCTTACATAAAAGATCAATTAATTGAAAGACGTGATTTCGTCAATCGGACCACGAAATCTAATGGATTTAATAAGTAAAATGAAGTGTATTTTATGTGGCCATTAGTGGCGAACCCACTAAAGCTCTCCGTGGCCAACTCTATGAGCCCAGAACCCTACTGCGGGCTAGGATACATATTAAAATGGATCCTTAATGATTTCAAAACCTGGTGGAAGAATACCGAAGGTATGAGGCATGCGAAGAAATTCATAGAAGGACAATCCATAAAACTTACAAAAGAACTACTGGAAGGCAATCGCAACTGAACTAGGATTGTGGTTGGACTCCTGACGGGGCAGATGATCCCATCTTTACTCTTGGGCGTTGAGACCCATGAGGATCTTTAACGTCCGCACTGATCCCCAAGGGGACTTCTCAGACGCCTAGTGTTCTCAAAAGAAAACACTTGTCACATCCCGTGGCCAGCGAGGTGGTGCAATACTAGCCATGTTTAGAAGTGCCCTGAAAATACATGTGCCTTAAAAAAGGCAGTTTTTTGGTTTCCAGCACAGCCTTTTAGCAGATAGAGAAGGCACTCTAACTCCAGCTCCGGTTGGCCGGTACCCTGCAGCTAAGATACAATTTGTTTACAAACCACGACCACCACGAGTCCAACCTCAATTAGTGGAGCCGCTTGGATACTCCACTCCCTTGGTTCAGTATTATTTTTAAGGTGGGACTGATCGCCCACCCGGGAGGTCATACGAACTACCCCGTTGCCTGAGGGGTGCGGGTTCAGTAACCCTGGAATCCTCTGCCAAAGCAGAGGGGGGAAAGGGAAAGAAAAGGAAAGGGGTATGAAAGGTAAGGAAGGTAATAGGGATAATGCCTCCATCATTGGTTACCCCCAGGCACCAGGGTTGATGGTCGGACTTTGCCTGAGCCCACAGGGAAGATGTCCCTTTGGGTAGTAATAGTAAAGAGTAGTACCTTACGGGGCACCGGATAGGAGTACAGACAGAACAAACACTGTGCAGATACTGGCAGGAAGAGGAGGAGACCGCAGAACACATTTTATGTTTCTGTGAAGGTCTATGTAGGTGCACGTTCTTGCAACTAGGACAAGAAAAACCACAAGCAAGATCCTACATCAAGGAACCGATGGCAAAGCTGGGGAGGCTGGTTAATAGCCTGTAGCTTCTTCTTGCCGGTGGCCTTGGAGGGTTTCTTGGCCGGGGACTTTTTAGCTTAGTTGAGCTAGCTTTAAGCTTTTTCGGCTTGGGCTTAGCCGGAGACTTTGCTTTCGTGGCCTTGGCTTTCTTGGCAACTTCTTAGGTGTAGTTGCTGTCTTCTTCACCGCGGCTTCCTTTTTGGGAGCAGCGCCTTTTTTGGTGCCCTTCTTTGCCGCAGGTTTCTTCACCGTTTTGTCCTTGCTGGGAAACTTGAACGAGCTGTTGGCACCGGTGCCCTTGGTCTGGACAAGGTGCCCAGAAGCATCGGCGCTCTCCAGGTATTTCCTGATGAAGACCGCCATAGACGGGCCCACTTTGAAGTTGGCGACGACGTACTTCTTGATGGCCTGGAGGGAAGAACCGCCTCGCTCGTGCAACTTGGTGATCGCCTCGTCGACCATCTGAGATGTTGGAGGGTGAGATGGTTCCTTCTTCGCCGCTCCAGCCTTCTGGCTCTTCTTGCCTGCTCCTTTGCTGCCCTTCTTCGGAGTCTCAGTCGCTGCCGCCGAAGCGGGTGTAGTCGAAGTCTCAGTCATGATGTGCTTACGCTTTGCTAGCTCGATCTCGAGTGAACCCTAACCATCCCTAAAAGCCTGTAGCTGGGCAGTGAGTTATAATTAACAGAGGAGCACAATAGATTTAGGTCGAGGTACAGTAGGCCTTGTGGCTCCTTATCCCCTACCATCCTGCCAAATTTCATTGGTATGCGATCAAAAATGCGACCGCTAGAGAGCG